GAAGCTGTGCCTGCGCTAGAGCCTCTTTGTGACACGAGGCATCGCCCTCGAGAGCGCCCGGGCGTCGCAGGACCGCGGTGGAGCCTCCACGTGAGCCCCATAGGCCTGGGAGCCGCCAGCAAGACCGGGGGGGCGGCGCATCGGGCCGCGGTGGACCACCGGTGGTTCGCGGCTGAAGGCCTCGGTGCGCGGGCGCGGCCGCCCACGGCGCCCCGGCGCCGCGGAGCGTCGCCGACAGGCCGGCCATATCATAGTATCCGGCCACTGGGCCGTCGCCGCGGCGGCCCGACGCTCTGCAGGCCCGCGCGGGCCTCCGGCGCCGAAACCGGCGCGTCGCGCGACGGCGCTCGAGCCGCGGCCGCGTGGCCATCCGGCGTCTCCGACGTGCACCGGCGCCGCGCACGGCCTCGCGGTAAGTATGCGCGGCCTCGGTCCAGCGCAGGCGCCCGGCGGCAGCGCTGCGCGCGCGGACGGCCGGGTTTCGTTCGCGAGAGTCTCACGAGCCATCTCTAGCGACCGCTCGTTCGCCGCGCGTCGGCGGCCCCCGCACGGATAACTCGGTCCAGAGGTGCGCCGTGTGATGGGCTTTCAGGCACACCCAGGGGCGCGGCGGCGCGCGGCGATTCCCCCTACAGAAGTCAACGCCGGGGTAAAAGTCGATCGAATACAGCCGACACTTCATGATCGACATTGTGCAGCGTTTTGGCGGCGCGCTGCGATGGGATGGCCGTCTTTGAGGGCCCGCCGATCCCAGCAGCTGCGAGGGCCGCAAGGACGAGGGTGCCAGTGGGGCACATGCGAAGACGCGACGCTCATACGATCGCGTGGCGACTGGAACGGGGAGGTAGAGTGGGTGGGAAGGGGCGCGCTGCCCGCTCGCGACCCCTCTAGCATAGTTTTCGAGCCATCGCAGCAGCAGAGAACGTTCGTCATCGATCCCGTCGCATCCAAGGCGGCGGGTTCCTCGGACATAAAGGTAGATATTGAAGGCGGAAATCCCGCCACATGCCGATCCCGGCGCATAACGCCCAAACGTCGCGAGCGCTACGAAGAAAAGCCCATACAACGACGGCTTTTGCTGCACTGTGCCGCTTCAAGGGGCTGTATTCGATGGGAAATTACCCCGGCGGGCTCAGCTCACGGCGACAGTGCGCGCCCGTACGGGCGCCTGCAGCCAATCCAAGACTACCGGGCGGTAGCCCGAGGTCCCTGTCGGGTTTCTGCAGCGCGAGGCGTACGCGCACAGCGATCGACGGGATTTAGGGACGTGGTTTTTCGATCCCTATGGGTTTTCCCAGCCTCAAATTGGTCCTCACGCGACGACATTCGAGTCGCTTTTCGCGCTTCAAAGTCCCGCGCGCGTCTCCCCACGACCATCCCCGGTCGTCCAGCCTAGGCGATGGGCTACCGGCGAAGGTGGTGAACGGGTGTTACTTTCGTTGGCGGCACACCCCCGATCTCAAGATGATAAAATCGCTCTTCATTACGGGCTCGACCGGAGATGTTTTGATCGAACGCCATTGGCGCGGCGTGACACCTCGAAGTGTATGTGATTTCTTTTGGGATGAGGTGAATAAGTGTGACCAGCGAACTGAGGTGCCTCCAATCTTGTACCGGCCGAAGCATTATTTAGTGTCGATTTTCCGAGAAGATGTATATGTGATTGCAACATTGGCCAAAGACGTGGCCCCGCTTCTAGTAATTGAATTTTTGCACCGGATTATTGATATTTTTGTTGAATACTTCGGGGCCGCAGATGAGGGCTCAATCAAAGACAACTTCTCTGTGGTCTATCAGCTCCTCGAGGAAATGTTGGACAACGGAAATCCCTTGATGACCGAACCAAATGCATTAAAAGCAATGATTAAGCCGCAGTCTGTCATGGGTCGGCTGCAGGCTGTCGCAACGGGGAGATCAAATGTGAGCGATGTATTGCCTGATGGGACCATCTCATCCATGCCCTGGCGCAAGTCGGGCGTCAAGTACGCACAGAACGACATCTACCTCGACATAGTGGAAGAGGTGGACGCAATTGTTGATCGGAATGGACAGGTAGTGTCATCAGAGGTGACAGGGGCCATAATGGCAAATTCTCGACTTTCGGGCATTCCAGACCTATGCTTGAGTTTTGTAGATCCAGAGGTCATCGACGACTGCTCATTTCACCCCTGCGTGCGATACAATAGATTTGAACGCGACCGTGTCGTCAGCTTTGTGCCTCCAGATGGCGCATTTGAATTAATGCGATATCGTGTAAACACGAAGACTAATGTCTCTGCACCAATTTATGTCACGCCTTCAGTAAATATGTCTGACGAACACAACGCAGGTCATGGTCGTATCCAGATACAGATAGGTCAGAAGCAGACGTCCTCGCTTGTCATCCCTAATCGCAAAGGGTCTTTGCTCATTGAGGATGTGACCTTGTCTATCCTGTTTCCAAAATGTGTCAAGACCGCCACCTTATCTGCGACCATAGGAACAGTCCTCTACGATGAAGCCACTAAAGTAGCGAAATGGACTGTGGGCAAGCTAACCATGACCGGAAATAGGGCACCCCAGCTCACTGGGTCAATGGTGATTCAGGGTGCTCTCGAGGAGCTGCCCCCAATTCAGGTGACATGGAAAGTCCCAATTGCCTCCGTATCTGGCATTCAGATAGCGGCTCTTCAACTCACTAACGAGCGCTATCGCCCGTATAAGGGTGTTCGCACCATCACAAAGGCCGGACGATACCAAGTCCGCGCCTGACTTGGCGTCTTGTACAGTCTCAACCACCAACGCCCCTAATTATTTGCAAGCTGGTGGGATCTGTCCGATTTTCCTGCGGGTGGAGATTCCAATCACGAGTGGTCTATCACGAGCCACGAACAGGCAGGAGCACCTTTAGTTTGTGAGCTTGATTCCGGAAACCCACCTCACTGTAGATTACACTTGGACACGAGAACCCAACGGGACTTAGCGCTAAGTTCGCGACTATTCGCCTCCCCCCCCCCCCCAGCGTGCCTGAGTGCCACACGCTTCGCGCTATCTCTGTCGGGGGAGCCCGTAGGGTCCGTGGCTGGTCCGTGGGCTGGCGGCGGGCGGGTGCGAAGCGGGGTTGAGTTGGGGTTGAGTGCGGGTCGAGTAGCGGGGTCGAGTGGACTCGATCAGGGCGCCTTGGCGCTGCCCGGGCTTCCAACCATAGTGTGGGCGGAGTGAACTCGGGCTTTGCGGTCTGGGGGTTGATCGGTCATGCCGACCCGTAGGGCAAAAAAAACGGCGGCCGCCGAAGGCCGCGAGCCGGGCACAGCGGGTCGTTTCGTGGCTGCAAACGGCATTTTTCTGCAGAAATTCCACCGCGCGATGCGCGCATCGCGCGCGTGGACGACGCCGCCCTTCTGCGATCTTTAGGCGCCGGGAGAGGGAACTCGTGTCAAATTTACGCCGCTACGTCCGGCCGTCGCTGGCCGTGAGAGCCATTTCGACGCTCCCCGAGAGGACGAGCTCCATAATTTTCTCCCGCGCCACGCGCGATTCGCATGGAAAGCATGTGTTGAAGAGCGTGCCGCGTCGCGAGCGAGCGAGCTGATCATGTGTTCGGCGCGGCTGCGGCCCAGCCCTTCTCATTGCCGTGCCGTCGGTGGCCTAGCGAAGGCCGCGCATCCGAGCGGCGGCCATGGACGCGTGCGCGCGCGCGCGCCGCAGAGGTCCTCGTCCTGGACGCCTCGCCGTCGAGTCTGGGCCTCGTGTCGGTGTTGTCGTCCTCGATCTTGGTGGCGTCGCGCTGCCGCCGGCGCGCGCGGGGACGCAGACCCGGGGGCTGCCCCACGACGGCGCGGGGGCTCTGGGGCAGCCCGTAGCAGCGCTACCGGCGTTACTGCAGGCTGCAGTAGCCGACGCGGCGATGCCACATCTTCATGGGCAGGCTCGGATGCCAGTGCAGGGACCACAATCGAAGCAACGAGCTGCGGTTGCGCGAGACGCTGTCGACGTCGTAGATGATGGCCGAGCGCTCGGAGTCCTTCAGCCTTGGTTGCAGGGGCAACCCTTCGAGCGATGGGAGCCACATTTCGCTCAGACTTAGGTGCAGAGGCGCCGTCTCGAGCGCTGCCAGCCATTTAGCTTAGCTATTAGTATGTTCTATTTTGCAGTGTGGGTTAAGGTTCACCTCGAAACAATTATTTATCAGCGGTTGAAAGCGAGCGAAGCGATCAACCTCAATCAGACGAGTGGCTACGACCGACGGGGGCAGGCGAGCGAAAGCGAGCCGGCCGGCCGTATGCCGGCTCATGTGGCCGGCTTGTCGTCTTTATTAAGTCTTAATTTAGTCTTTATCTTCCTGAGGTCCGATCTTTACCAATGCGTTAACTTTCGTCATGTCACCCTATTCCTCGCAGGAATGGCAGCCGCGTGACAATAGCAAAGATGTTTGCGAACCGACTAGAACATCAGTGGCGCAGACTTGGACCCACGATGGGTGTAAATTAGCCTTTGGCGAAGGATCCGTAAATCGACAGCTTGCTAGAACTGAAACCCGTGCAATCCGAACATTGATGCGAGAGGGTTGCGCAGACTCTCGACGAAAGCGCGATTGCCTTGCTCGTGGCGCAAGCATAATATCGAAGGGTGTATTCGTGCCAGGGTCGACCAAGTCCCGATTTGAATGGAGCATGAAGTCCCCCCCCCAGGTCCGCCAGCGAGCCGCAGTAGACTTTGATGGCGCAATTACATCGCTTCTCAGCGGGGCAATGGCACTCTGTGATGGTGGGGATCATGTTGCAGCACGTGGTGCCGAGGTGAGTGCTCCTAGTTTAATGGTAGTTCTATCATTAATGGCGTACGCCACACACACGATGCATCCTATAGGCTCTAGCAATGCAAATTCGAGGTGATCGAGATGCAGCTCAAGTTTCTGTGGCGCGCTCATGCCGGGACTATGTGTCCTGTAACGTCCTTGCCAGTGAGAGTACAGTATTATGTATTTATATAATTTCCCACCCAGGCGTTGGCAGAGGCAGCAAGACATGACTATCATGCTGCAGATGTGCTCCTGCACACGACGCGAGCGCAGGGCTCAGGTGCGGATGGGGGTATGGACCTGTTCGATGTCGATTGTAATTCAAACATCTCTGATGCAGCACTTCCCAGAGCATTTGTTTATTCTACTCCAGCACCTGCATGCCAGATATTCAGGTGGGAACTGCTTTAGGAGCACGCAAGCGTGCCCGTGCTGAACTCGCAGCGGCGTACGCATCAGCATCAGCTAGAACCAGCGAAGTGGCAGCCACGACAGCATTAGTGCGTGATGACCGGCTTCCGCATAGTATGTTTGAAATCAGTTTGTTGTTTTACAGCACTGCAGTCTGTGCTGCTCGGTAGGTCATGCCAAGTCCACGTTTGAAGTTGCGCAGACTGTAGCGTTAGAAGATGCTACCATCGTGGAGCGCTCGATGGCACGACAGGTACGGCTACGGCAGTATGATCTAGCAGCTGGGACAGCCGCAGATGCGGTAGCCGCAGTTGCAAAAAGACAGCTGTCAGGCACAGATGCATTTGGGTTGGCGACCGACGGCTTTGCCAAAGCGGCGCAGGCAGGCTACCGAATTCCAGTTGCAAAGGCGGCAAGCAATGGTGATGCTGAGCTAGAGCGTGTTGCGCGGGCTTGTGTGCCGTTTGTGACGAAAGATGTGAGTCGATTGCGTCTGGCGTTGGATGCAGCGCGAGCATTCTACGATCAAGCTGGGGATGTTCGCGGAGCTGAGGTGGCACTCCGCTGCATCAGTGGGCTTGAAGCAGTTCGCACGGCAGACAACATGTGGACTGAGGTGACTGAGAAGTTTGGTTTAGGCGAGTACGGACCAGCAGCAAGGGCTCTCCGGCGAACACGGTGCGCCCTGCGTGCAGCTGTGACTGGATTGCCATGCATGAATGCATCACTAGATACCGTTACTGCTGTCCTTGTTGCGGCGACTAGAACAGCAACGGGCATGATTGCGGCGCTTGCACTAGAAGACGCAAAGCGTCGCCTCAATGCAGCCAGTGCAATTATGCAGACTCTAACTCACGATAGGGGACAGAGTGCAGTAGATCGCGCAGCCTTCCTAGCAATGCAATCAGGACCACTCCAGCTTGCACGCGCTGAAACTGCAGCCACGCGCGCAACCCTAGAATGGATAGTTGCAGCAGATGACGAAACATGCGCTTTAGCGGCAGCAGGTGCTGAGGCCAAGGAAGATTGCCGCTGTCTTGTAGTATCACGCGCAAACGTGGCAGCTGCGGCAGCGGCTGCAGCTGCTCACACACCTTGGCATCCTGAGTTACACAAAGGTAACACGGCCGTTTCTTTACTAGGCCTGGATCTTTCCCTTGTTGCCTTGGGTGATAAAGCAGCCTCACTCGCTGCGGTGGAAGCTGACACGGGTGCGCAAGCTGCGTGTGCGGCTGCAGATACAATTAAAGGGAGTTACGACCCATCGACCCGCTTCCGGGAGCTACTGGCCAGCGGCGGTGCGACACCTGACGTATCTGACGTGCTAGCAAATCTCTCTGGTGAGGGAATTGAGCAGAGTGCGCAGCGGCTATTGCGTCGTTTTCTGAGGTCATTTACTGTGCCTCGCACTGCTTTGCATCGCTGTGATGTACGTTCTGGTTCTGATTCAACTACGTACTCTGTTGAAACCGCACGCCAGCGACGGAAGCGCGCTTCCATTGATCTAATCGCAGTAGGTGAACTTGAAACTTGCTTAGAGAAAATAGCGGGTGAAAAGGTGGCCGATGCGCTTCTATGTGACGCTCAAGCATTCGCTGATGCGGGCGATGATCATAGCCGCCTGGAGAAGCTCGAAGCTGCTGAGGCTTCTCTTGCTGCACACGGTTTCGAGGTTCGTGCTGCGGAGACACGGCGTGAACGCCTTCGTGGTCTTGCTGCAGCTGCTGAGCTCAACATCGAGGTCCTTGTGCGACAAGGTTCCCTTGATGCCGCGCTTGAGCAGGCGGATGCTGCGGTTCGATATCTTCATCAAGCTGACGATGGTGAAGGCGCAGTGCGCGTTGAGAGCATTCGTGCCCCCATCGTAGCTGATCAACGCATCGCTGAGGCGGACGTCTCCCTGAAGTGTCGTGAGTATAACGATGCAGTTGGGGCTCTTGCGGCAGCTGCGGAACAGCTCGATACGGTTGACACAAAGAGCACGACTGGAAGTAAGCGAAATGGTCAAACATTTAGAGTTGCAAATCCTACAAATGCGGTCCTCGCGGATCCACTCTCAACTACAGAAAAACGTGCAGCGTCAGCTGGAACATCGTCGGCGGCGGCCGCTGCAGCTGCAGCTTTAGGACGCGGTCGGTGTCGTGCGCCAGTTGAATACGTTTGCCGCCGTGCAGACGCGGATGGCCGTGCGATGAAGCGAGAAGCCCTGGAAGCAGTTGTGCAAGGTAATCTAAGCAAGGCCCTCGAACTCGCCAAAGAGGCTCAGGATTGTTTCGATTGGTCTGATGAAGCGTCGCGGGCACAACTCGACGTCAAGGCGCGCGTCCCCGAGTATAGCCTGGTGCGCCCAGGCAAACATGAGCAACTTCGATCACCACCGCTGGACACTCACACAACATTCTCACATTCTGTTGATGACGTCCTCATCTCTGTGCGCTACGCACGAGAGGAGCGCGCAGGTGCGGCAGCACTTAAAAACGCGGATGCTGCTTTGCTCGTTGATGACCGCATCGTTGCTATCTCTGCACTTGAAGAAGCTGCAACAGGGTTTCACAGCGCACAGCATGCGCATCAGGAGCTCCTGTCGCTTGCAACAGATCTCTTGTGTGTGCCCGGGGCTGCACGTGATGCTCTCCTATTGCAGAATTATGTCGCACGGCTCAGGACGGAGACCCAGTACGAAGGTGGCCGCGGAGCTGCTCGTGTAGCAGCACTTTCGGGTGCACTCACGGTAGACGCGGCACTAGACAATGACATGCCAAGATTGTTGACTTCAGCTCGAGAGACCAACTGCTACGACGACGTCAGGCTACGCCTCGCAGCTGCCCGTGACGCTTACGAGACCCAGCGATGTGCAGTCCCAAGCGCACTAGACAATAATATCAGATCGATTTCCAAGGCCCATCATCTTGCTGAGGTAGCAGCGGTTCGCCAGGATGACAATTACGATGATGTCGCAGCCCCACGCTTGCGCAAGCTCTTGCGCTACGAGGCGCTAGTAGATGCGCTAGCATCACACGCCGACGCTGAGCGATCTCGCGACTATGAACAAAGCGTGTCGCATCTCGAAACTGCACAGATGGAGCTACAGGCCTTGCAGTCGACATCCCCAAAGTCGCTCCGAGCACCGCCCGCAGATCTAGTATCCACGGCACCTGCTGTAGCACATGTTGTCCTCGCTGCCGTCGCCGCTGCGGAACTGGCACGTGATGCAGCCGAAGCTGCTTGTGACAGTTTTGATTTCGACCAGGCTTTCCTTCTCCTGGACAAGGCAGATAGTTCTTTTGCCTGGGTTGCACAACAAGAGGGGGCTCTTCACGCCCTGGATAAACTGCCAGATCCAGACACGATTGAGGCGCAATCTGCGTTCGCAACCGTGGTATCGGCGGCGGAACAGGCGCCCCAGGTGCCTGTCATTCTTGAGGTTGGCCAACCATCATCTCCTCTTACTTATGTTGCCCAACTACGGGAGGTGGCAACACGTTCCAAGGCGCTAGCTATGGGCCAGGCACGATACTCAACAGCTGAACAGGCCCGCGCTCAGGGGGATTGCGAGGTGGCGCTTTCACTCCTCGCCGCGGCTTACGAACTTTTGCGTCTAGCAGGTCCCGACGCAGAAGAGCTTGCGGAGCGTGCTTCAAACCGAGCCGCCGGTGTTCGTGGCGATGCTGCTCTACTGTCAGCACGAAATGCATACAGCACTGGAGCTCTGGAGCTGGCTACTCGACTTCTTGTAGAGTCGCCTAATGGTGCTCTCGGGCTCTACACTGAGGCCCTGGAACCAGAAAATGTTGAGGAGACCTCCGCTGTGCTGGCACGTGTCGAGTCGGTGAGATCCAGTGTCCGTAAGCAGCAATTTGGCGACGCAACTGTTGTAGGATCTCCTGTATCGTGACTACGAGCCCGCTCTTGAGAGGCACGATTTCGATGTTGCGCTTGATGTGCTCGTGCGTGCTGTGAATCGTTACGAGGCTTACCAGCGCCCTGCTACACAACGCACTCAGCTGAAAGAAGGCCCTGTTGTTTGGGACGATGGGCTTCCATTCTCAAATGTTCCCTCTGATGTTTCGCCATGGGATCGAGTTGCACTTGCAGCTCGGAAAGAAGGAGATCGTCTGAAAACTGAGGCCGTTCATGCGCTCAACAAGCTGAAAGATTCACGTGCTGCCCAACTTGCACTTGAGAGTTCCAGAGCATGTTTCACTTGGGCCAAGGCTGAAGGGAAGTCTGGACTTGACCTCATCGCACGTGATATCGTGCTCTTCAACCTTCGATTTGAAGCTGAGCGTGAATTAGATGCCGCATTGACGGCTAGCAAGAGCCACGACACGACGACGGCACTATTATGCGTGGAGAACGCCCGCCATAAGTACATCGAGGCTGCGTGCCAAAAAGAGGCCCAAGATCTCAGCAAACTTTACGCATGCCTGGAAGCTGATGCAAATTTTGAAAAGGTGAAGGGGTTTCTGTCTTCTGGCCCAAACGCAGACGGAGCGTCGGTACTGAGCGCCCTTGCTGCCGCCAAGATCGCTTATCAAGAAGTTGCTGTCCTGAGGGCATCAGGACTTCGCGTCTGGATTGCCCGAGCCTCGGGTCATCTTGAGCAGATCACTCGATTGCATACCTTTGTAACGTACTGGCTTGAGTTTGATTATCTCTCGCGGCGAGTTGAGGCGATTGCATCGACCAACACATCTGAAGAGAACCTTGCAGCAGCGGGTCGGCGCGCGTCGCTCAAGCAGCTGCGATCTAAACGTGGCGCAAAGATTCCTCCAGCGGCAGTGCAGCTCTCAAGAGTACTTGAGCAGGCCACAATCTCCCTCGATGATATCAAGCAGATTGCCCAGCGGCTCCCCTGGGGCCTTTGTATTGGCATTGATATAATCGATGTTTGTCTAACTGACTGTGAGACCCGCTATGCTCAATGCTTCCCAACATTCCCTTTGGAACGAAATTATGGTGGACATACAGCTGACTAGAATACACACATGGCCCTCAGGTTGATAGGCCGACCACAACAAAGATGTGATGGCCAGACCATGATCAAGATGTGGTGCATCACCAGCGGCTGAACAAGGAAAGGACTGTGTGGAGTCTAGGCTCACGCCGTCGTACTCCGCTTGGGACAGTCGCAATCGACATGTCACCTCTGGGGTGTTTGAGTCTTTGAACATTCAAGGTAGCTTGAACACGACAGGGATGGTGGTCAGGTGTGATATGGGTCATCAAACATGCACGCGAAACGTCCAAGTCGCGCCTCCCGCGACTTTGAGCCACGTAAAACGATAGCCAGGCCAGGGGCGCTTAACACCCGCCTGTGAGCCTGCAAGGAACCTGGGATCAACACGCCGAGGGAGAAACACCCTAAACTAGGGCAACAACGAACGTTGAAGTCCACGATAGGGGAAAGTGCAGTGTCATCTCCATAGTGCATAAGCAAAACTAACCCTTGACGGAATAAACTTCACTGAGCTCGATGAACTTTGGGATATGAATGGCTGTGGGCGCACAACCAAGATTGAGCGAGATGCGAACTTTAAAACGAATGGCTCGCTAACGAGATAGTAAACTCCGACACGGGGAGGCAGCCTAGTGGGGCTGCCCTGCCGTGTGAGGGTGAACTATCGAGGTTACGCAGTGGCGGTACACCGGCGTCTCTGTTAACCTCACGTCACCTCAGCTGCCGTAGTATACGGGGGCCGGGGCTACTGGACGAACGGGCAGAGGACCTGCCTCACTAAGACGAATACTCTGGGGTGATAGTTCCCTTCAAGTAAGCGTTTTGTTGAACATTTAAATACGACTTCCGACCCGAACCGGCAACCCCACACCCTTGAAATCCCTCAATCGATACGATTAGCGCGCTATCCCGATGGGCCGGCTTGGCGGGGGCATAATTCAACAATTTTGCCACGATTTCCTCCGGTGGTCGACCTGCGCGCGCGCGGTCGACGGAGGACATCTATGACATACTACGGCCGGCGGCCAGAAAGAATAAATAAATACTTCTATGGGGCGCTCTAGCCCTATGGTTGTTTTCGTCCTTGCATACCCGACGTAGCTCGCTGTAAGTAAAATACGGGCACTACTGAACAACACCCCAGCCGCATTCCAAACTCCTAGCGGGGCTAGGCAAGCTACCTTGGCCAATCATCCCGCTACATGTGGTACACAGTGCAGTTTATATGGGGGTGGAGAGCCCGAAGGCCGAAGGGGGGGGGCTAGCCGACTGCGAATGCCGCGTAGGTGGGCCCAAATGCGGTGCTTTGTAGTGGTCGGACTAATTTGGGCACGCGTGGGCAACCTGGTGCTGCAGTGTGGGTGCTGCAGCGTGTCCCTAGACGCCAGCACTGCGTTTTCTTGCATAGTTGCGGACACCGACGACCCTGAGATACTCGTCGAGGGATAGGACACCTTCGCCCTTCTCGGCTTTGAGCTTATCGCCGAAAAGTTTGGTCATCAACCTTTCGACGTGTACCCGGCCATATGTTTGATCATGGCCATAGCGGGCAAAAAGCGTGGACATCGTATCATCCTCAGTTATCTGGGCTTTGAAGTCTTTATCGATTTTGAGAGAAGGGAGATATGTCATGAATTGGACAATATTAAACAGCTCGAAGGGCTCCAAGCCTGTTTCGTCTGTTACATTGCGGTGATACATCATTTTGAACTCGTCCCAATTGATCTCTCCATCAAGATTCTCATCTACTTCCCATATCATGTACTCCAATTGTTTCTTTGTACACTGACGTCCAAGTGTGCGGAGTGCATGGTCTAGATCTTTTATCGTAATTACCAAAGGACCCTCTTCAAGTTGCTTTGTGTCGTTAATTTCTGTCTCTAATGCTGCTATTTCAAGGGATAGGGACCAGCCAGTTTGCTGGGAGTCATCAACGACATTATCATTTGCGGCAACGTTAAGTTCTTGATCGCATTTTCTTCTTTCCGCCAGTTGTTTTTTTTTGGCGGTCAACTTTGCCGGGAGCATCTCTCTGTGAGCTCGCCTGAAGTTACCCGCTAGGAACTCGAAGACGCGACGCA